TGCGCTAAGCTGTACTCAGATACAACTTTAAAAACATTTTTTTTAACCAGGCCATATGTCTTGGGCAATTGTAAGCTCACAACAGAATTGAAAGGAAGGTACAAAGAGTGCTGGACCTTCCCTGAGCCCACATATACACTGTCCCTACCCAGTAACCTCGCATCCCCACTAGAATGGTGTGCATATTACATCTTACAAACCTGTGTTGACACTGCCTGCTAACCCAGACTGCGGCTCACATTGGGCTCCCTCTGGTAGGTGTGTATTTTGTGGGTTTACACAAATGTGTCAATATATATGTTTGCCAGTACAGTGTCACACACAGGACTTTCACTACCCTAAACCATTTTTATGTGGTTTCTGGAAGCTCACAGTGTGAGGGAGTGTCATCTGTAAAACAAATTCTCTAAAGAACAAATGACTAGTTTGGGATTAAAAACTAGTGCTGGCACAGGCTGTCTCCAAGCTCCGCAGAGGGCCCGTTTCATAGCCACAGAGTTCCAGGTGACACGAGTCATTGCAACTTTGTGAATCATGCCATGAATCACCCCAAATCACAGTGCCAGGCTCCTTGGACATTACATTCCCTTGTGTTTTGCATGCAGATGAGTGTTCCCATCGGGAGAAGAAAGCCCTTCAGAGTAACTGTTTGTCACTCTGAATCCCTCCCATAGCGCTTTGTGTGTGTCTTGTCTTCATGTATGTGTGTACCACATGTGTGCGTAGGTCAGAAAAGGACAGCAGATGAATTATGAGAAAGTCCTGCCGATATGACTGGTTCTCCCTCGGCCCTGTTGCACCTGAAACCATCAGGTGGGGGTCTTTTGGCAGTACGTCAACTGTTTAACAGCAGCTAACGGTTCAGAATGCTTTTAAAATGAGTGTTGAGTATTGTGTTGGCAAAATTTCAATTGCTGTGATAAAATACTCAAGAAAATCAACCTAAAAGGAGGAAAGTTAGGTTTGAGCTCATGTTTTCAGTCCATGGTTCCTTGGACCTACTGAGGCTGAATGTCGTAGGAGAAATGCTTGTTAGAGTAAATCTGAAAGGGGCTCCTTCTCCAAACCCATAAATTTGAGTCCACAAAAGGATTGACTACCCATGAGTCAGAGCCCTCATGATCCAGTCACCTCTCAAAGGCTCTGGACCCTGGTTACAGTGGGGACTGTCCCTTCAACACGTGAGTCTTAGGGGGACGATTAAAAGCATCATTTTTCTCTTCCCAACCCCTCTGGGATCCCTGGTAAGATTACAGTGATAGGAAGAAGCAGTCTTGCCTCCCGAATGCTGGGATTAAAGGCGTGCACCACCACTACCACTACCAGGTTTATACAACCTGGTCCTTACTATTTTTTTTCATTTTTTTTATTTTGGGAAGGGTGGTGTGTGGGCAATGGATGTGCCCCAGCATGTGTGGAGATTACAGGACAAATTGCAGAAGTTGTTTCTGTCTGTCCACCAGATCATCAGGCTCCTCTGTCCGCTGAGCTGTCTCCCTGATCCTGAACAAAGAAAGTTTAATGTAAGGATCATTCAGTATAACAGGAGATTGGGGTAGCCATGGATTGGCTACTGGAAAAGGAAACTTTAAATTATAGGAGTAACAGATTGGAGCAGCAGCCACAGCCTGTGGGCTGACCTTACACAAGATATGCCTATATCTTACTGTAAGACAGAAGAGTCACACTGGTGGAACTTTCTGGAAATTGGGTTTCTAAGATGCCTGAGAAAGCTGCTCTGGGGAGGTGACTGAAGGTGGCCCCTGGATAGCCTGGCAAAGCAAAAGCCAGAGGCTAGGAAAGACCTGCGCCGTGGGGGCTCCTGGGTGACACCCTAGAATCAGGAGGCACAGCTCTCTTGTCCTGTGGGGTGCTGGGTGACACCCTAGAACCAGGAGGCACAGCTCTCTTGTCTTGTGGAGGTCCTGGGTGACACCCTAGAACCAGGAGGCACAGCTCTCTTGTCCTGCCGTCTTGTTTCTACTTTTGTTCTATTGATTGGTTTCCACTGCCTTCTGAAAAGCTTACCATTACCCCATTAAGAGACCCAGACCCACTTTCACAGAGCGGGCGGGCAAGGAGGGTGGATGGGAACAGAGGGACAATGCCACCGAAGATGGAGTTTCTTTCCAGGCAGGTCCTTGCAGCACTTTAGTCCCAAATAAACACACAGAGGCTTGTATTGATTATAAACAGTATGGACGATGGCTTAGGCTTCTTATTGGCTATCTCTCTCCTAATTATTATCCCGTTTCTTTTCAACTATGTATTTCCACAAGGCTGTGGTTTACCCGCAATGCTCCAGCATGTTACTCCTTCGGTGGCTACATGGTGTCGCTCTCTGGCAACTCTCTTGTGTTTCTTCCCCCCAGCATTCTCCTAGTCTGGAAGCCCTACCTATACTTACTGCCTGACTATATTAGCAGAAACAGCTTTATTTATCAACCATTAAGAGAAGCATGTATTCACAGCATACAGAAGGACATCCGGCATCAGCCACCCAGCACAGGGACTCTGACAGATGTCAGTAGTCATGACATCTCAGGTCAAAGGTTACTAGGAGACGTGCTTGCACATAGTGAATTTGGGAGGCTTAGGTATTGCTTATACTGTCTCTTGACTGAAGATTGCCTGCAGCTTCATTTTTAGTACCAAGCATACACATAGGCCCTACAGTGTCGCAAGTAAAGGCCCAGTAAATTCTTAGCTCAGTAGAAACTGTGAAGTCAGTAAGTAGTCAGGGATTTCAGTGCCAGAGAGAACCAAGTGTCCAAATACGCGCTTCATATGTACTTTGGAGACATACCTCCCGTCTTCTGCCCTGGTACCTGGCTGTGATCCAGGGCTGCTCATCACCATCAACCTTAGCTTCCCTCACTTTCCTGAGCTGAGTGGCAATAGCACCAGCTCAGTGACAGAACCATGTCTGTGTAATATGCAGTGTCTTCTTTCTGAATTACCTACTTTGGTTGGTTGGGACACATTTCCCAGCCACATTCTTGGAAAGGTTAGTAAGTTGACTGATGGCCGTGTGTACTTGAAAATGCCTCTATTCTATCCTGTTCTTTTGTTTTGTTTCAAGACAGGGTTTCTCTGTGTAGCCCTGGCTGTCCTGGAACTCACTCTGTAGGCCAGGCTGGCCTTGAACTCAGAGGTCTGTCTGTCTCTGCCTCCCAAATGCTGGGATCAAAGGTGGGCATGACCACTGCCCATTTCTCCATCCAGGCTTTATAAAAAAAATCTCATTTTGGTTGTTTTGTTTTGTTGTTGTTGTTTGGTGGGGAATTGTTTGTTGGTTTGTTTCTATGTTTTGAGACAAGGTCTCACTATGTTAGCTTCTCTGGCTTGGAATTTACAAAGATAACACCTGCCTCTGCCTTTCAAGTGCTGGGATTAGGAGTTTGGGCCATACACCTGGGTTTTCCTCACATCTAGACAGTTTGGTTGGCTGCCAAAGTCTTACTTGGAAATTCTTTTCCTTCAGAATCTTGATCCCTGGTATTACATCTTTCTATTTGTAAAGTAGGAAGCCATCCTGACTTTCATTCCTTCCTTTGTGGCCTGTTTAATTTCTAGGAGCTTGTAAGAATCTATTCCTGCTCCCGCATCTTTAGGCAGCATGGTGATATACCTTGGTTAGATCTGTCTTTTTCCACTTATGAGTATCACTAGGTATTTTTTTCTTTGACTTGGAGACAGCCCTGTTCTTTTTTCTTTTTTTTTTTTTTAGTGTAACATCTTTTTTTAATTTTTAATTTTTAATTTTATTTTTCTCAATATATGTTTTTATTTAAATTAGAAACATGAATGTTTCACATGTCAGTCCCAGCTCCCTCTCCCACCCCTCCTCCCTTGTCCCTTCACCAGTCCCCATGCCCCCACCCAGTCCCCACATCTCTAAAGTCTGTCATTTCATCCTGGGCAGGACCTAGGCCCTTCCCTATGTGTCCAGGCTGAGAGAGCATCCCTCTATTTGGGATGGGCTCCCAAAGCTCATTCATAAACCATGGTGAACACTGATCTACTACCCAAGGCCCCAGTGATTTCTGTGGCCTCCTCACTGACACTACATTCATGGAGTCTGGATCAGTCTCCTGTTGACCTCTCAGCCTTCAGTCTGGGATTCAAGAGCTCCCCCTTATCTTATCAGCTGTCTGTGTGGGTTTCATCATCATGGTCTTGACCCCTTTGCTCATCACTCCTCCATCTCTGTCACTAGGTTCCAGAAGTTCAGTTCAGTGTTTAGCTGTGGGTATCTGTCTCTGCTTCCATCAATCCCTGGATGAAGGTTCTAGGATGGCATATAGGATAGTCATCAACCCTATCATCAAGGAGGGACAGCCCTGTTCTTAAATGTTCAACCTTCTGGATTAATCTTCCAATTTTCTTAATGTAGCTCTCCTTTTTTCTAACTTTTCCTCTCGTTTTTTGAGATTTTATTTATTTTTCTTTTATGTGTATACATGTTTGCCTGAATTTATGTCTGTGTGTCACATGCATACAGTACCCACAGAGACCAGAAGAGGGTTCCACTGGCCTGGGACTGGAGGTACAGATAGTAATGAGATGCCATGTGGATGATGGGAATTAAACCGAGGTCCTCTGAAAGAGCAGCCAGTGCTCTTAACCACTGAGGCCTCTCTCCAGCCCCCTTTTTGTTGGTGTTGTTTTTAATTGAAGGCAGTGTCTCATTGCACATCACTGGCTTTCTGCTCTTGCAGTAGATCTCAGTTCAGTTTCTGGCACCCGCATCAGTTGTCTCAGAACGGCCTGGCACTCCAGCCCCTGGATGATCTGATGCCTCAGGACTGTATGAGCACCTGCACACACGTGGACACACATGTGCATAATTAAAAGCAAACCCTAGTGTGGACTATGACCAAAAGCTCAAAAAGTATACTTGCTGCTCAGTACATGTTGTGTTATAGTGTTTAGTGCATAACTATTTAGAGCTGTTTCTATTGGTTCATAGAAGTTTTACATTTTTTTCCCTTTCCTAGGACAAAGTTAAACTATAATCCTCCAAAAGATGACGGATCCACTTATAAGATTGAACTTGAAGGGATATCGGTAATGGTTATGAGAGAGATCCTGGATTACATCTTCAGTGGGCAGGTATGGTGAGACCCAGGCTCCAGACATAGCAGAGGCTTCCCAGCTTTCAGAGTGGTACTGCTATGTCATCTTCTGCCATCAGGGGCATCTGTTAGCATCTTCCTGGCAATGACCCCACATCTGTGTTCTTTCAGACTCTGTCCCTAAAAGAACAACACAGTTAGATCATAGACCAAATCCCAGCTTATGCTCTTCTGAGGTCCACCCTCCAGGCTGAGATTGGAAGAACGGTGCACCCTCACTGCTGACTCTTGCCACCACATCTTGAATCTGATCTTGCACCCACCCTGTCTGGACCTTCTCTGTCTGCATGGAAACAGGAGCTTCTCTGTGCAGCAGGACTTATTCTATAGAAACAGTTTCCTGTGGGTCATTACCACGAAAGGCACCTCACATTGAAAGTCACCCTTGTATGCATGGGTGGTCCTGCATTTCACCCCACGCCTGCCTGTCTTCCTGCATTCCCTCTACTCTTGGTGCTACACTGTTTCTAGAGATGTGGTATTGCCCAGGCAAGAAATAGTAAACAACTGGACTGCTTTCTTTTCCTTGCCTTCCAACCCCATCCTCTTTCTGTAATTTAAGTTCTAACATACAACTCTTACGACACTTAGCAGGGCCACAGAGAAAGGTTCAGAGAGCTTGCTAGTCTCCCAGGCCCAGCAGCTGCAGCAGGTGGCTCACAACCACCTGGAACTCCAACTCCAGGAGATCTTATGGATCGAGCATACACACACACATACAAGTAGATAAAAATAATCTTTAAAAAAAAAAAGGTGTGCCTTGGGAAGCAGAGGCAGGTAGATCTCTGTGAGTTCAAGGCCAGCCTGGTCTACAGAGCGAGTGCCAGGACAGCTAGGGCTGCTCCACTGAGAAATCCTGTCCCAGAAAAACAAAAAAGAAACAGATAGTGTGTTGCACAGTTAGGTGTGTGAAAGTGTGCTCTGCCATTTTCTCCAAGATCTCAGTCCTCTCTGTTGGAACCTTCTTCGTTGCTGCTGCTCCCCCACCTCCCCTGTTCTAAAAGGCCTGTTTTCCAGTAGTTTCTAAGTGTTTGGAGTGCATTGCCTATCTTTTCTAAATACATTCGTTCTGTCCACACACTCAGGGATCCTAGTCCTGTTGAAGTGTGTGATGTGATTTTGTAGGAAAACATAGTTTAGGGGACTCCTTTTTCCCTAAACACAAGGCAATGGGTATTAAAAGTGAATGAGCTAGAGTCCTTTTGGCATGGCCCCTAAGGTCCTAGAAGCACTCCGCAGCAGCAAGGACCCAGGCATCTGACCAGCCAGGTCTGACTTGCAGAGTGGAGTCAGTGCAGTTACGAGCACAGCAGGTGATGGGCCACTGAGGGCATGCTCTGTGCAGGCTTTGACTGCAGCCTGGGGACTGTCTGCAGACTGACTGCTAGGATTTGTCCCAGTTTAAACTTTCGAATCCATTTGGCAACGTAAGCTGTGACAGACTTCTAAAATAGCTGTTTGGTTTAATTGAGATGTGATTTTGTGTTTCTGCATGGATTTGTATCTGCAGTTGTTCCCAGTCTTCTGGCTGAATTTAACATTCTTGGGGCTGGGTTGTGGCTTAATGGTAGAGCTCTTACCTGGAATGCATGAGGCCCTGAGTTCCATCCCAAGCAATGCAAAAAAAAAAAAAAAAATAGAAATAAAAGAAGAGGAAGAGGGCTGGACAGATGACTCAGTGAATAAAGGCTCTGCTGCAGCCCTGATAACATAGTTCATTCTGAAGAACTCACATGGGAAAAAGAGACTATCCATTCCTGAAAGGTCCTGTGACCTCCACAGGTATCCTGGCACACATACACCCACACACACTGTCTTAGGGTTTCCACTGCTGTGATGAAACACCATGACCAAAGCAGCTTGGAGAGGAAAGGGTTTACTTGGCTTACACTTCCACATTACAGTCCATCACTGAAGGAAGTCAGGACAGGAACTCAAACAGGGCAAGAACCTGGAGGCAGGAGCTGATGCAGAGGCCATGGAGGGTGCTGCTTACTGTCTTGTTCTCATAGCTTGCTCAGACTGCTTTCTTATAGAACCCAGGACCACCAGCCCAGGGATGTCCCACCTCCCGCATCAATCACTAGTTAAGGAAATGCCCTACAGGTTTGCCTATAGCCTGATCTTACAGAGGCATTTTCACAGATGAGTCTTCCTCCTCTCTGATGACTCTAGCTTGTGTCTAGTTGATGTGAAACAAACCAGCACACATACAAACAAACAAGAAACCCAAACAACAAAAAAGATACAAAAAGAAGAAAAAGTTAGTAATGTCCCTAGCATGGAAATTTTTCCTCACTTAGTATATTACTAACCACAATTCTGTGCTCAGTTTCTAAGGCAATTGGTAATAACACATTTTTAAATCTGTAGTATGAAAATGTATAGAATATGGTAAAGTGTTTTTTGCTGGACTCTGGACTCTCATTTTGAAGCAGCAAAGTCTGGGGGAGCTTGGCTGTGGTGTGGCATTTTACAGTTGCATGGAGAAGCTTGAGGCAGGGAGAGAAAGATGCATCAGACAGGACACTGGAGAAAACTAGACTCAGAGTAAGGGAAACCTGTACTTGAGGGATTTATTCCAGAAGGTAGTTTGAGTCCCACATGCTTTGGCATTGAGCACGGGCTGCTGAGGAAATACAAAGCCCCCGCATTGGTGGCTTGCACCCACTTGGCAGACAGGAACCCTGATGTATCTAGAGATAACTCCAATTTCCACTAACAGCAGTACTGTTCCTGAATGCTCGTCTGTTTTTTGTGGGGGTTGAAAATGTGGACACATGGGTATGTTCTCAACAGGAGAGTATAAGTCATGCTGGCACAGGAGGGGAAGGCCTGGACAGGTGAACAGGTTAAAAGTCAGACATGCCTGCTGTGAGAGAAGTCCCCTTCATGCCTCAGACTCTCGAAAGATGTGCTGTATGTGGTCAACACTGCCAGTCATCTTTGACCTCCAACAGAGGGAAGTTGAGGGTAGGAGAAATGACTCTGTTGTTAAGAGTGCTTCCTACTCCTGCAGAGGACTTGAGTTCAGTTCCTGGCTTCCATGTTGGCATCTCACAACTGCCTGTAACTCCAACTCCAGTGGGATTCAATGCCTCTGACCAGTGGGCAACCACACTCATGTGCACATACATATGATTAAAAATAAATCTTTAAAGATAAAAGAAAAAAGTGGCAACTTCCTGTGTACCAGAACTAGTGGTTTGGGTTAGTGGTCTGCATTCAGATATAAAATGTTTATGGTCCTCTTACAGATCAGGCTAAATGAAGACACAATCCAAGATGTTGTGCAGGCAGCCGACCTGCTGCTGCTGACGGACCTTAAAACCTTGTGCTGTGAGTTCTTGGAGGGCTGCATTGCTGCAGAGAACTGCATCGGCATCCGCGACTTTGCACTGCACTATTGCCTGCACCATGTGCATTACCTGGCCACGGAGTACCTGGAGACTCACTTCCGAGATGTCAGCAACACAGAGGAGTTCCTGGAGCTGAGTCCACAGAAGCTCAAAGAAGTGATCTCTCTTGAGAAGCTGAATGTTGGCAACGAAAGATACGTGTTTGAGGCAGTGATTCGGTGGATAGCACATGACACAGAGATGAGAAAGGTACCTGCCCTCAGGACATGGCTGCGGGTTCCCTTTTCGTTAATGTGTTTATTTACTTTGTGTCATGGGAGGGGTGCATGTGAAGCCGGAGGCCAACCATTGATGATGTTCCTTAAGAACACTATCCATCCCTTTGAGGGTCTCATTAACTTGGAGCTCAGGATTAGGATGGACTGGCTAGTCAACAAGCCTCAGAGATCCTCCTGCCTCTACCTTCCCAGCCCTGGGATCCAGCCATGGTGCACACCACCATGCCCAGCAATCTTACATGCATTCTGGCGATCAGGCTCAGGTCAGCACACTTGGAGGGCATCCACTTTACTAAGTGAGCCAGCCCTTCATTTATTTTTAACACACATCACAGTAGTTTGTCTTCTCCATCTTGAAAGACTCACAAGTTGTGAACTAAAGGATATCTGGAAAACATCTTCTGACTGTTGCTGTTAACAGTCATCTGGCTGGGATCTCTACTCTTTCCAAAGAGCAAGGATAAACACTTGGTTGCTGGCAGTCCTAGGTACTGGACAGATCCAAAGGCTCATACTCCAGCCCTAAGAGCCGGGAGCTTGTTTGTCCAAGTTGTTAAGTCAGACTTGTGGCTGGAGATGCTCAGTTTGGAGGCTTCTTGCTTTGAGCTTCAGTTGCCAGTGGTCCTGACATTGACAGCTCTTATAACTCTGGGCTTCTGGCAGCAGTGGGCTCCCTCCTACAGCTTCTAGAGTGTTTGAGGGCCTCGGGTGTTGACCTTAGCTCCTACAGAGGTGAGCGTTATGGTCCTCAGGCCTAAGATCTCTAAGACCCTTGGATTTTACATCTTAGCAGTTCTCTGAAACAGGGCTCATAGTTTCTCTGTTTTAGCTCTTTACAGCCTTCATTATCTCCTGCACCCCGATCCTGGTCACTTTATGGACCTCTTCAACTGTCCTACTCCTGCTGCACCCCGATCCTGGTCACTTTATGGACCTCTTCAACTGTCCTACTCCTGCTGCCATTGATTGCTGTCCACTTTATTCTCTTGCATTTTTCCAGTCTCTCCTCTTTATGTCATAGTTCATCATAAGCTAACAGTTAAGATCAAAAGTCAGAATGAAGGGCCACTGAAGGATAACCTTTGGGGGAGACCTAATATTGCAACACTAGGGGACAACACAGGAGGGCAGCTTCCAACTGACATAAAAAATTTGCTTCTATAGCCAGAAAGGAAGTATGGCAATGGTGTTTGGAATTACAGCTGTCCTTTAGGATTGCCAGAGAGGAGATGGCTATATTTATGCCAGTCACAGAAGACCTTCATGATAAAGAAGGACTGTTTGCACTAACATCAGACTGGCCACCAGGGAAATCTCGAATGCCGGCCTGGGTGAAAATGGCTGCTGGGGGTTAGTGAGGCTTGTGATGGACAAAAGGTCCAGTGCAGGGTGTCTAAAATGCTGTGCTAAGATAGTGGAGCCAGAGTGCTGCCTCAGTAGCAAGCAGTTGTGGTCACCATGTAGCGCCCTCACTCTAGCAGCAAGCAGCTGTGTCTTCTCCCAAAGGCATCTGGAGAATATGTAAAGCAGGGCATGAAGGAGGTCCAGCTGGCTGCTTAGCTGATAGTCCTCTACTAAAGGCTGCTAGAGTCAGATTCCCCCAGCCCCCAGCATCTTAGCTGATTTGGAGGGAAAATAAAAAATTAAAGAGATGCCTAGCTGGGCATGGGTAGATGCCTTAATTCCAGTGCTTTGGAGACAGAGATGGACATTATCCCAGAGTTCAAGGCCAGCCTGGTTGCCATACAAGTTCCAGACCACACAAGACTACACAGTGAAACCCTGTCTCAAATAAAAATAAAAACCAAGAAGGGAAGGGTTGTTTACAGTAAAGGTTGTCATTAATACTAGCAGTACTTGATTCAGAGACCCACAGCCAAACATTATATGGAGCTCAGGGAACCCTGTGGAAGAGGGAGAGGAAGGTTATAGGGATCAGGAGGGAAGAGGACACCACAGCACACAGGATCAGCTAAGCTAGGCTTGTAGGTGCTCACAGAGACTGAAGCAACAGTCACAGAGCACTCCTAACAGTGGGCTGAAGGTTTCTCTGACTCTTTGCTTTTACTCCAGCTGGGTTGCCTTGTCCATCCCAAATATGAGGGCTTGTGCCTAGTCTCGCTGTACCTTGTTAGGCCATGTTTGGTTGCTATTCCAGGAGGCCTGCTCTTTTCTAAAGGGAAATGGAGGAGGAGTGGATATGACTGGGGGAGGGGGGGTTTTGTGTATTATATCAGAGAAGAATAAATAAAGCAAAAACAATTAGCAGTGCTTGCTGGGTGGGGTAGTGTGTGCCTTTAATCCCAACACTCTAAAGGCAGAGGCAAGTAAATCTGAGTTTAAGGCCAGCCTGGTCTATAGAGTGAGTTCCAGGTCAGCCAGAGAAACCCTGTCTCGAAAAACAAAACAACAACAACAAAAACATTAGCCGTGCTTTCACGCTATTTAACCTCATACCTCCGAGGAGATTTGAGTCGTTTCATTTGCCCCCAAAGACTCAGTCTGAGAGAGCAGCCCATGTACTTCACAGTATGGGCACCTATAGAGCCATACTTGCCATCACACATTGCTTTTAATTGGGAATGCAGTTTAAGCTTAAGCTGGAGTTTTCTGAACTGCCCTGAACCTTTGCTACAGAAAGTGCCAGGCCACCCTCTCTCACGGTGCTGTGTCAGCAGACAGGAGTGGAGCATGGAGTCTGGCAGAAGAGCTCTTCTGAGGCTTTCCCTGGAGTGACCGACGCCATGTCAGGAGGTGCCACACAAACAAGGAAAGTCTGAGAAGATGGCCCCGGCACAGACCTGCCACCCTCACTTTATTTCCTGGAACCTGTGTAAAGAAAAAAAAAAAGCAAGACCCCGACTGTGGTGGCGCACGCTTTTAACCCCAGACTCAAGAGACAGAGGCAGGCGGATCTCTGAGTTTGAGACCAGCCTGGTCTACAGAGTGAGTTCCAGGACAGCCAGGGCTACACAGAGAAACCCTATCTCAAAAAAGCTAATAAATAGGTGAGAAAGACAGACACAGAGAGAGAGGGAGGGAGAGAGAGACAGAGAGAGAGAGGGAGGGAGAGGAAGAGAGATAATTGATAGGTAGACAGACAGAAGATGGATGGATGGATAGATGGATAGACAGACAGACAGCAGGATGTAGCGGTGCACATCTGTAATCCCAGCACTCCTGCAGTGAGATGGGAGGCGCAGACAGGAGACTCACCTGGAAGCTCATGTACCAGCCAGCCTGGAGTACACTGCACAGCAGAAATGACGGACCCTGCTTCAGAGAGGTAGAAGGGAGAACTAACTACTGAACATGGTCCTCTGATCTCTGCTCACACTCCATGGCATGTGTGTACCCTCATTCATTCATTCATTCATTCATTCATTCACACACAACTAGATTTAAAAGAAATAAACTGTAGCTCTCTACATATATGTGACAGTTGTGTACCTTGATCTGTTCATGAGACTCCTAGCAGTGGGAGCAGGGGCTGTCCCTAATGCTTTGGCTGGCTCTTGGGAATCTATTCCTCATATTGGATTGTCTTGCCCAGCCTAAATACAAGGGGATGTGCTTAGTCTTCCCACAGCTTTGATATGCCATACTTTGTTGATACCCTCAGACACCTGCCCTTTTCTGAACAGAAACAGGAGTGGATGGGGGTGGGGATGGAAGGAGAGGAAGGAGGGGAAACTTCGTTCAAGCTGTAAAATAAATTAACTAAATTTTTAAAAGAGAGAAAGAAATTGTAATTAAAGTTAAACAGGGAGGCAGGGCATGGCAGCACTTTAATCCCAGCATTCAGGAGGCAGAAGCAGGTGGATCTGTTCGCATTCGAGGTCAGCCTGGTCTACATAGCAAGCTCCAGGACAACCAGAGCTAAATGAGATTCTGTCTGAAAAGTAATAGCAACAACAAAAAAAAAAGCATATGGAGAAGGTCTGGGAACAATGGCTTCAGGAGGGTCTTAGGAAACAACAGCCTTTAGGTCCCCATTGGGATCCAACAGGGAATATAGCTTGCTTTCAATTCTTCTTTCCAGTTACTTGTTTCAAAATAAGAAATGTATTGGGCTGGTTTTAGAGACTAGATTTTGGGATGCATAATTACACTGTCCTTTGTTCTTGGCAATGACTGTCTCAGCTCCTAGTGATTATCTTATAGCTTGTAAATTTTGTTAAGCCTGTGAGCGTGTACACTCAGAAACCACACTTTTCGTCTTAGCTGCAGTTTAGGCCTCCTAGTGTTCTGCTCTATGTTAGGTATTGTGGGGAGGGAGATACTCAGAGAGGCCACTAGGAGACACTGCTCCTGTATCATCCTCTTGCTCAGGGTGTTCAAGGTGACTAGTTACCGGGAACCAGGGCAGTTCTCTGTCCTTTGGCAAATCTGACTTCTCAGAGTATGGAAAAGTATGTCTGAACTTACTCGGTCCCCTTACCCACAGAGGCAGTACCCACAGAGATCAAGTCCATGGTCAAAATCACCCAGAGCATGCCCAAATGTCAGAGATGGCCACTGAGACCCAAAAATACCCAAAGCTGTAAGGTAGTTTGAACCGTGACCATTGCAGGAATTATTATACAATTGTGGGGACTTTTTAAACCTTTGGCTTTGCTGATTTTCTTACAATATTAATGTTGATCTGTTCCCATGTTTACCATACTATACTTACTATTTTCTTTCTGGTGTTTTAGTGAGAATGGCTTAGTCACAGTCTGTCCAGACAGTGAGATAAATCAGTATGGCTGCTTTCACTTAGGTAACCCACCAGAATAGGACCCTTCAGGGTATGGGAAGCTTTTGAAACTTTGCAATACAAATACAAACAGATTTTTGTTTGTTTGTTTTGTAATTAAACCTTTATTCCCAGAGACTAGACAAGAAAAATTAAAAAGGAGAGCAGAGTACCACACTCTGTAATCCCAGGACTTGGAGTCTTGAGGCAGGAGGATGGTCGGCTTGAGGCCAGCCTAGATTACATAGCAAGACCCTGTCTCAAAAGAAAGAAGAGGGGAGCTGGAGAAATGACTGAGCAGTTAAGATGCTTGCTGCTCTGCAGAGGACCAGAGTTGGATTCTCAGCACACACATCAATCAGGTGGCTCACAACCACCTGTAACTCTAGCTCCACTAGCTCTAATGCCCCCTTCTTTGCCCTGTAGGCACCTACACAATACACATAATTAAAAATAAAAGGAACGTATTTAAAAACAGGGAGCTGGAAAATGACTCAGCAGTTATGAACATTTGCTGTTTTTATAGAGGACCCAACTTGAGTTCCTAGCATTCACATTGGGCAGCTCACGTGAGCCAGTAACTCTAGCTCCAGAGAATTGGATGCCCTCTTCTGGCCCACAGAAACCTACACAAACACACACACAAATAAAAGTAAAATTGCTGGGACTGGAGAGTTGGCTTACTGGTAAGAACACTTGTTGCAAAGGATCCAGGTTTGATTCCCGGCCTCATATGGAGGCTCACCACCTCTTGGTGGTGTAAGTGCAAACAAAATACTCATACACATAAAATAATAAAAGTGAAATTAAATCTTTTTTTAAAAAAAAGAATAAGGGGCCGGGCGGTGGTGGTGCACGCCTTTAATCCCAGCACTCAGGAGGCAGAGGCAGGCGGATCTCTGTGAGTTCGAGGCCGGGCTGGACCGACAGCCTCCAAAACAATACAGAGAAACCCTGTCTTGTGAAAACCAAAAAAAAAAAAAAAGAATAAGGGCCTGGTTGCATATTCAGGCTGTGCTGGGTATGACAGTGTCTGCTAATAGACAGTTCGTGGCCACCATCTGCTGAGAATCAGGAAGTATTTGAGAAGACCCGTGTCACCCCTCTCCTGTCCCTCCTCCTCCCTCTGCAGGTTCACATGAAGGATGTCATGTCAGCACTCTGGGTTTCAGGGCTGGATTCCAGCTACCTGCGGGAGCAGATGCTGAATGAACCCTTGGTACGAGAAATCGTCAAAGAGTGCAGCAACATCCCACTCAGCCAGCCGCAGCAGGGGGGAAGCCATGCTGGCCAGCTTCAAGCCAAGGGGCTACTCGGAGTGCATAGTGACCATTGGAGGGGAAGAAAGAGTGTGAGTGTGGCAGGGGCCTTTCAAGAGGGGTATGGGGGAAGGGGGAGCTACACAGAAAATGCAGGGTTATCGTCTCTGTCTAAAGTACAACAGCAGTCGACTTTTTAAAATGTTAACCATCTGTAGACTACTGAAATTGACTGGTGATGGTGAGCAAAGCTGTAACACATCAGTTATGTATTTCCTTAGTTCACGGAAACCCACGGCCGCCATGCGCTGTATGTGCCCTCTCTACGACCCTAACCGGCAGCTGTGGATCGAGTTGGCCCCTCTGAGCATGCCGAGAATTAACCACGGTGTTCTGTCAGCAGGTACGCTCTGCTCAGGTTTAACACAACCTGACCAAGGAATGTGTCGTTTCAGGCTTATGCAGGTATACACATGTGATTTTTAATCCCAGTACTTGGGAGGCAGAGGCAGGAGGATCTCTATGAGTTTGAGACCAACTTGGTCTATATAATAAGTTTAGGTCAGCTAGGAATATGTAGTTGCATGCTGTCCCAAAAAAAAAAAAAAAGATAGGGGGTGTGGCTCAGATGGTAGAGTTCCCTAGGTTTGAGCTCCATCACCACCTGGTATGGTGACATAGGAGTTCCAGGCATCAAACTCAGGTTGTCAGCCTTTGCAGCAAGCTCTTTTACCTGCTGAGCCATTTCGCCTGCCCTTTTTTGTTCCTCATCCATTTTGTCTTCCCATGTTGCCTCTGCTCTTAGAAGTCCTGTCTGTCATGTCAGACCTTTATACTGCATTCTCTGCTTGTTTGTGTCAGCTTCTGGCCTTTTGTCTGTCTGTTCCAGGTTAAAGATTGCTGGGTTTTGTTTTTTTGTTTGTTTGTTTGTTTGTTTTGGTTTTGGTTTTGGTTTTTCGAGACAGGGTTTCTCTGTATTGTTTTGGAGGCTGTCCTGGAACTCACTCTGTAGACCAGGCTGGCCTCGAACTCACAGAGATTCTCCTGCCTCTGCCTCCCGAGTGCTGGGATTAAAGGCGTGCACCACCAACGCCTGGCTAATGATTGCTTTTGATTTATCTTGACCTACTTTCCAGCTCTGAGAATATGTTAGTCCACCAGGGGATTTTTCGTTTCCATTTCTTTGTGAATCTTGGTTCAGTGGTTCAGTGTCATTTAGTAGTCACGTGCGTTTCGGGGTGTGGTCATTACCACTGCTTTGCCTTCTCTGGTTATTCAGTACTTCAGGTCTTCACAGCACCATTGCCAGTGTTTGCTTCTGATCTTACTCCATGGGACCACATTTCTTGATGTGCCTGAGAGCCTTGCTGGATGCTCTTATTCGTAGAAAATGTAATGCCTTGCAGCATGACCGGTAGTCTGGGGCTTGAATGAAGGTGCTCTTTTTCCTCTATAGAGGTTTTACATTTGTTTCTGACGGTTGCAGGAAAATACTGTTGCTCCAAAACTGAGTTCAAGCTTGAAATTTCCTAAACAAGCAGGATGTTTAAATCAGTTAAGCTGGCCAAGGTGGGAAAAGGCACTGGCCACCACACTGAGGACCTGAGTTCAATCCCTGGGACTCACACAGTGGAAGGAGACAGGCAACTCCTGCAAGCTGTCCTCTGATCACATGCACACACACACACACACACACACACACACACACAAGTGTGTACTTGAAATTCTTTTAATTTTCGTTTTTTGAGAATGCCATACATGAGTGCATTATATTTATACCATTCCTATCCTTCCCTCTGTTCTCTCCAACTCTTCTGTGTCCCACCATGACCCCATCTCAAATTAGTACCTCTTCTATACACAGACACACACACACATACACACACATACACACACATACACACACACACACACCACAATCTCCTCAGTCAGTCAGTGTGGTCTGTTTGTACATGTGTCTAGGGTTGACCATTTAGGGTTGGGAAACCTATCAGGAGCTCATCCCTGGAGATAACAGATTCCTCCTTGGTGTCCATTGACTGCTTCTAGTGCTTCTTCTAGAAGCATCTGGAACCTTATGACTTTTTCCCCATCTATGCTGGCATGTGGCATAGTGTGGTCTTGTGCAGGCAACCAAACTGTTGAGAGTTCATTGATGCGACTTCCCTGCCCCGCCTAAAAGACACTGTCTGGCAGTAGACATCCTGGCCATCTGTCTCCTACAGTCTTCCACCCTCCCCTCCATGATGTCCTCTGAGTCTTAGAAACAGGGCTTGTGTTGTAAATGTCCCAGTTAGGGTCTGGCACCCTGTGGTCATTTATTTCTTGCATTGTGGCCGATTGTGCTCTCTGCAGTAACCTCGTCTGCCACAGACAGCGACTTCTTTGATGAGGCTGAGAGCCGCACTTACCGATAGAGTATGTATGGTGTCAAAAGTAATTTAAAAAAAGAAGTTGAGTACTGGTTCCAGCTGGCACACTTACTTATTTCTTCCCTCCCTCGGTTTTACAATGTTGGGAGTAAAACTTGGGACCTTGTCTGTGCTGGCCGTGTGCTCCATTACTGAACTCACCTCCACCACTACCCCAAGAGCAGGCTCAACAGTGTCTTGCATTCTGTTTTGAATGTCACATGGCCTGTGCCGAGTATCCCTGTGACCCTGAGAATAAATGTGGACTGCAGCTCAGATGCTGCTGGAGACCCACAGAGCTAGGGACTAATGTAATGAACTGAGGTAACCCTGAGCTGCCTGGGGACCAAAGGGGGCATCACCATTCTTCCCATCCTGTAGGGTGAGAATCACCTCATGGACTGCATTGAGTAGAGTGGCCAGAGTGACCAACAAGTTTGGATCTGTCACCAAGGAGCAAAAAGACTGTCAGGGTTGGAGACGGGAGCTCTAAATGTACCATAGCACCTGCTGATGGTGTCCTATGTGTCCCCTGTGCTTTTTACAGAAGGATTCTTGTTTGTATTGGGGGGCCAAGATGAAAATAAGCAGACCCTGAGCTCGGGGGAGAAGTATGACCCAGACGCCAACACGTGGACTCCTCTTCCACCCATGAATGAGGTATGGTACAGTGTGTCTCCAAGGTGTGTTTCTTTTCTCCTTGGCACTTTTATTGGTGTAGGTTCCGTGTAGGGAAAGAAGAGGCAGCCTGGCCACCCCTGCCTTTACCTTCCCTGCCTCCTTCTGGCCTCCTGCCTGGCACCACCTCCCTTATTGCTTCCCCAGTCTCGAGATGCCTTCCTTCTTTGTTCCCCACCTCTGCACACACTGATTTTACACGTTCCTACAGAGACTGCACACACGTTCCTACAGAGACTCCACAAGCCAGGAGTTTTCTTCTGTTCTACTTTGGCTGTGGGTGAATGATAAGTACCTTTGCCGTCTGTAATTCCTGATACTCTAGCATGCCCTGACCTTCCTGCTGCCCATCCTGGACTCAGGTAGTCCACACTACCTGGCTTTTGTCATCTTCAGTCTCCTCAGAAACCTACTTGCCCTAACTGCACAGAAGCAATGCCCCTGAGCCAGTTGTCCTGGGAGGAAGGTGCTCTGTAGGAGATTTGTAGGTTAAGCACACCATCTCTGCTGATGAGCCTGCATCTTTGTCCCTGGTCCTGAGAAGTGGCTGGCTCTGTCTGAAGAAGCCACACATAATAAGGAGGCATTCCAAGGAGAAACAGTGTAAACAAGGCTCCTCTTTGCTGGGATGCTGGAATAAAACAATGCCTGTGACATTTAGCAAACATGGAATATCCACTTTCTCCTACAAAGGTTTGTGGTGTCTTTCCAGGCAAGACACAACTTCGGGATCGTGGAGATAGATGGGATGCTGTACATCCTTGGAGGGGAGGACGGTGACCGGGAGTTGATTTCCATGGAGTGTTACGATATTTATTCAAAAACATGGACGAAGCAACCTGACTTGACCATGGTTAGAAAGGTGAGTAACAACAGGCTGCAGCAGCTTCTTTACAAGCTGACTTCAAAGTCAGGGTCTCTTTCTGCGCTTGGTTGTTGCAGTGGGGAGGGCCACACCCTGGGCCTCATGTGGCGCTCTGCTGGAGCGGAGACCCAGCGCACATCTTCATTCCTTCAGTATGCCTTTGGAAACTGCTGAGATCAAGGCTCCAGAATTCTGTCTCTGCTGGCAGCCTGCCTTCATGTCAGCAGTCACAGAAAAGCCTGTGTGAGTGTTTGTCTGCCTCTGAGCAGCAGCGCTGGGTTGCAGAGTCTGTAGAAGCTGCTCTGTGGATAACCTGATCCCTCCTACATTCCTCCCTCACTCCACAAGTGGAAAACTGCAGTGACTTCCTCCTGTGAGCCTCTCTCACTGAGACTCAGGCCACAGGCAGAGCTGTCTGTCAGTCCATCTGGCTATGACTCTGGTTCATGTCATGGACTTCCTGTCTTCTCTTCCTGTGCACCTGTCCCACTAGACAGTTGTGACAGAACTGAGCAGTTTATTGTTCCAAATACCTTAGCTCAAATACTGGTGAAAGGAGATGGCTGCTGGGAAGCCCCTTCTGCTCCCCGCCTCGCCCAGTGCGACACGGATAGAACTCATGGCTTGTGCATACCGGGCAAGTGCTGTGCCACTGCCTACACCCAAAAATTTTAAATCTCTTGTGGAAAGTTAGATTATGGGGGCAGCAAGAGGGCTCAGTGGGTAAAGGTGCTAGCTGCCAAGCCTGATGACCTGAGTTCAAGTGCCAGAACCCATGTGGAAAAAGGGAGGGAGCCAGGTCCAAAAAACCTTTCATAGGATTGTGGGCCGGGGTCCAGTATAGTGGCAGAACACTGGCCTGGCATGTTCAAGGTTCTGGGTTCTAGGCCCAGCATGGCCCCACAAAATAGAAAAGTATAGTTACTGGCTTCTTTGCTGAAGATGGCTGAAGACTCCTTTTTGGGGATTTCCAGTATGTGTTGCCAGCTCTTTCCATCTCTGAAACCCTGTGAGGTCATTCAAGGAGGCGTCACTGTTTTGCTGTTAGGAGTTGGAACTAGCCCTATGAACGTGACCATACTCTCTGGGTCAGTTGCTGTCTGTTAATTAAATTCTAATGACAAATGGTACCTCTCCCCACCATTGTTTTTTCAGATTGGCTGCTATGCAGCTATGAAAAAGAAAATCTATGCCATGGGTGGAGGATCATATGGAAAACTGTTTGAGTCTGTGGAGTGTTACGATCCACGGACCCAGCAGTGGACTGCCATATGTCCACTGAAAGAGAGGAGGTGAGGCCGAGTGTGTGTGACTATCAGTGTACCACTGTTGATGTATCTGAGGCCTCAGAGTATGGCATGTCCTAAAACAGAAAGCCCACATGCACATATAACATGGTATCGCTGTTACAGCGAACAAAAAGACTGGGGAAGAGACTCAGTGTTAGAGTGTGGTGTGCTGCACAAGTGTGAGGACCAGAGTTCAGATCCCCGGTACCTGAGTAAACGTCAGGCAGGCACTGCAAAGGCAGAGACAAGGGCTTCCTGAGGAAGCTGGCTAGCTGGACTAGCCCTGTTGGCAAACTCTGGGTTCATTTGACTTCAGCCTTGGGCGTCCACATGCGCACACATGTGTCTATGCACATAAAGACAAAAGCAATTGGGTCGGCATGGTAGCACATGCCTGTTGTCACAACACTTGGAAGACTATTGAGGCAAGAGGATTACTGTGAGTTCAAGGTCAATGTGATCTACATAGTGAGTTCCAGCCTACCCTGTCTCAAAAAGACCAACGAACAAAAGAGCAAGTAGTAGAGGAGTTAGGACTGGGGTCCTGGGTTCTAAGCCAACACCTGTGTTGTGTGGCCCTGCAGGTTTGGAGCAGTGGCCTGTGGTGTTGCCATGGAGCTGTATGTATTCGGAGGCGTCAGAAGTCGAGAGGACATCCAAGGCAGTGAGATGGTAACCTGCAAGTCTGAATTCTATCATGATGAGTTCAAGAGGTAAGCAGTCTTGAGAATTCTGCCCTGGTTCTCTGCCTCTGTGAATTGGACAGTCTTGCGGTCCTCATGCCTGCCCCTGACCTCTGTGTTTCCAGAGATGTGTGTCAGCTTGATTTCCAGTGGTGTCACCGGAAATTCTCTGTCTAGAGAGCATGTTCAGTACATGTAGATATTTTTTCAGTGCCTTCAGAAGTTGGTGAGTGCCTTAGTTGCTTTTCTATTGCTGTGGTAAGACGTGATGACCAAGGCAAATTATAAAAGTGCTCATTTAATTGGGCTTGCAGTTTCAGGGTTAGAGTCCATGACGATGGAGCAACGGCATGGTGGTAGGAACAGCCGAGAGCTCACGTGTTGATCCAAAAATTGGAGAGAGAGAGAGAGAGAGAGAGAGAGAGAGAGAGAGAGAGAGAGAGAGAGAGAGAGAGAGGTAGGAAAGGCCACAGTTTTTGAAACCAAAAAACCTACCCCCAGTAACACACCTCCTCCAACAAGCTACACCTAATCCTTCCCAAATGGTCCACCAACCAGGGATCAGGCATTCAAATATAAGAGCCCATGGGGCATTCTCATTCAGACCACCACAGTAACTTCAAGAAACACCATAGAACCTGGAACCTAGCACACATTTGTCATTTAGTAGTTTATAATTGGTCACCAGCTTTTAGGGTACAGTTTTGATCCATTAATATTCATGGACTGTTTTTTAAATATGTATTATTATTTTGAGACAAGGTATCTCCATGTAGGCCAGGCTTTTCTGAAACTCACTATGTCAGAGATCTGCCTACTTCCGCCTCCCAAGTGCTAAGGTTAAAGACGTGTGTACACCATCACACCTGTCCATAGGTGACCTTTTATGACGGGGCCTTCATCTACTTTTTCTGCTGCTGTCCAGAGGCTCCACACTGAACCCTCAGCTAACTCAGTTCCAGGCTGCTTCTGCCTAAAATGCCCCTTGTTGTCTATCTAGTTAACTTGGTCCTTTCCAAAACCACACTTTACTGTTACTCTCCAGAGAAAGCCTTCGCCGTCTTCCAGGCTCTCGAATGCTTCTCAGTGTCTGATCCCATATACTCTTTACATCTCCCTGTCTTTGTAACTGCTAAGCTGTGAATGTATACAGGGCAAGGTCCCATGTGGTCCACCCATATTATCCTCCAGCATCAAACTGACTGGCTTCAGATGTTCCATCTATGTCTGAGATACTAAAACTCTGATGGGCCAGAAATGTGTTTCAGCAGATAAAGGCACTTACCATCAAGCCTGATGACCTGAATTCAATTGTCAGGACCCCCAAGATAGAAAGAGAAAATTGATTCCCACAAGTTGTCTTCTGACTTCCACACAGCTTGTCACTTTACCCCCCCAACACACACACACACACACACACACACACACACACACACACACACACACACAGTAAATGGATAAATGCAAAAAGAAAAACCTTTTTTGGTGGGGGGGGGGGTTCTCTGTGTAACAGTCCTGCCTTTCCTGGAACTCACTTTGTAGACCAGGCTGGCCTCGAACTCACAGAGATCCACCTGCCTCTGCCTCCCGAGTGCTGGGATTAAAGGTATTTGCCACCATGCCCGGCTTAAGAAAACGCTTTTTAACGTGCCTGACAGGCCATGGCGTGCTTCTGTGGTGGGTGTTGTCCCTCCTCTCACACACTTTCCCATTCACAAGCATGAGGCAGTGTTGTCACTGCAGTGACCTGTTCAGATCCCCAGAGAAGATCATGGCTAATATTATGTGCTGCAGGCATGTTACCAGAGGGGGGTGCCATAAGATAAGGTCTGGTTTCCTGTCTTTGAGATTGCATGAATAATGAACAGATACAGGGCGGTAGACATGCATATGAATGTTGCCTGATCTGTCATGGACTTTCCATTTAGGATATTTTCAGAGATGCTTTTGCTTCCCATTACTAGGGGTAGACTATCAGGGGAATTTACTAGACAGTAAATGAGGCCGTTTAGACGGTATTTGCTCTGTGGGGGTGGGCAGAGGATGTCAGAGGCTTGTTAATTTCTTCTTTGATATGCCACTGTGGGGGCCGGTTGCCACAGCAGGAAATAGTATATTAATCTCTTGCCCAGATGAGCGTGAGACAGTCTGTCCCGCTTGATTAGCAGGCAGAAGCAGCATGTTTGGCTTTTGATAAAACACTGACACAAACCTTTTTCGTGACAACTGACTCAGTATGTAGTCAGCATGAGCTGCAATTTGTCTGAAGTCGTTTGCTTCCCATTTTATTCCTTTTGTCTGTTGCCTTGGGTGGGACTCAAATCTGACGGTAAAGTGTCCTGGCTGTCCCAGGGCAGCTGAGGTGCTAGAACCTCGGCGTTCCTACAGTCAGCCTGCTGCATGCTGTTGTTGATGAACTTGAGCACCCGTTCTTAGTACAAAACTATGACCCTATTAGTAGAAGTAGTGCTCTTCTGTTTCTGTTTGGTTTTTTCTTTTCCTTCCTTCTTTCCTTCTTTCCTTCCTTCCTTCCTTTTTTCCTTCTTTCCTTCTTTCCTTCCTTCTTTCCTTCCTTCCTTCTTTCTTTCTTTTTAATCTTCTTCTTTCATGACGGTCTCACTCTGTAGCCCTGACTGACCTGGAATTCTCTGTATAGTCCAGTCTTGCCATGAACTCACAGAGATCTGCTTGCCTCTGCCTCTCCATCATGCCTAGCTATAAATTTATTTTTTATTATTTATTTGGGTCTGTGTCTATGTCAGTGTGTACTCTGTGTGTGTGGGGTGTGTGTGTGTGTGTGTGTGTGTGTGTGTGTGTGTGTGTGTGTATGCCTTCTGGGAGGTTAAAACAGGATGTGAGCTCCCCTGGAGCTGAAGTTGTAAGCCACCAGATATGGGTGCTGGGAACTGAACCCTCTGAAAGAGCAGTCAGCATTTTTGAACACTATCTACCTCAGGAGAGAAGTGAGTCAGTCTGTAAATACTCGAAGCTCAGCCATGCAGGTCTTCATTGTAGCAGCCTATACACATATGCAAACACACAATCATACATGAATACATACACAAATATACAAAAAGTAATAAAACTGGGCTGGAGACATGGCTCACAGGTTAAGAGCACTGGCTGCTCTTCCAGAGGTCCTGAGTTCAATTCCCAGCAACCACATGATGGCTCACAACCATCTGTAATGAGATCTGATGCCCTCTTCTGGCTTGCAGGCATACAGTAGACAGAACTGTGTACATAATAAATAAATCCTTTTTAAAAAATTAAATAAAACTCTGTATCTATTATTGTGAAGAGATACCCTGACCACAGCAACGCTTATAAAGGGAAGACATTTAATTGGGGTGACTCACTTACAGATCAGATATCCATTCCATTAGCATAATAGTGAGACATGGTGCTGGAGCTGAGAGTCCTACATCTTGCAGGCAACCGGAAGTTGTCTGAGACACTGGGCGTGGCTTGAGCATATATGAAACCTCAAAGCCTGCTTCCACAGTGACACACTTTCTCCAACAAGACCACATTTACTCCAACAAGGCTATACCTCCTAGTAATGCCACTCCCTCTGGGGGACATTTTCTTACAATCATCACACCCTTCATCTTAAAAATTTTTTTTCACCAGGCAGTGGTGGCACACTCCTTTAATCCCAGCACTCGGGAGGCAGAGGCAGGCAGATCTCTGTGAGTTCTAGGACAGCCTGGTCTACAGAGTGAGTTCCAGGACAGCCAGGATTGCTACACAGAGAAACCCTGTCTCTCATGGGGGAAATTTTTTTTCAAATAAAATCCATACATCTCCAGCCTTTGTGTTCCAGGCTCCCCAGTGTTAGTTTATAAACAGAAAACAGCCGCTAAGACCTCTTGTCAGTGGCATACAGGACATTTGCCCGTCTGTAGAACACTGAACATGAACAAAACCAGATGCTGCACAGTCACTGCCAGGGCTCATCTGCTCGCCCCTGTGTCCCATTTCACATGTGAGGACACCAGAGCACAGGGAGGTAAGCATGCAGCAGACCTGGAACCCACGCTCAGGCATTCTGGCTGCAGAGTCCTCCAATGCACCCACCCCACTGGCCTGACTGTTCCCATAGACACTGTCAGAAAAGGCCCACCTGCAGCAGGACAGTGTTCCTGGTATGCTTTCTGCATGCTGTGGAAGCTGCCAGATGAGCAGTCTGTGTTAGATTGTAAGGAATCTCTGTCTTTCCTGTCTTTGTGCCCTATTTTTAGGTTAAAACTTTCCTGGAAAAATGCCATATCTTACTATTTTCTGTGGTTTCTGAATTAAAAAAAAAAGGCCACGGCACACGGAGAGCAGGGACTTCTCTCTTCCTGGAAGTTCCTGTGTCCCTATGGATTTGTCCCTCTGCCCTCCTCTTAGTTGTGCCCACACTCTGACAGGGTCCTCTCATCTGTCTCACTCTCATGTCACTGCCACACTTTGCCTTTCACACTCAACAAGGGGTCTCTTGGGCACCCACCTTCCCCTGCTACACCCTGCCATGGACTCTTTCTTCATCCAGAGCAGCACTGCACATGCATCCAGAGCAGCACTGCACATGTATACAGAGCAGCACTGCACATGCATCCAGAGCAGCACTGCACATGTATGTATACAGAGCAGCACTGCACATGTATACAGAGCAGCACTGCACATGCATCCGGAGCAGCGCTGCGCATGCATCCGGGGCAGCGCAGCACATGTGTTCTCCCTTCCCAGGCTTCGGCAAAGTGAAGCAGACACTGTTGTCCACTGATGCCTCTCATGTGGCATCTTCCTTTCCCGAGTCCTTTCACTTCTGCCTGAGTTTCCTGCCTTGACACATGGTCCTTGTGTTAACTGTGAAGCTGCGTTGCCAGTGCCACCTTTTCATCTTTGAGTGTACGACTGAATAGGGATGCGTGACACCTGGACAAATGTTAGTGACCCTTGGGTTGGGGACATTTGGAACAGGAAGGGCTAAGTAAATCCCTGAAACTGCCCTGCCCTCCAAAGCCAACAAACCCGCTATATCCCAAAGGAACTGATAGAAAAATTGCAGGCATGTGAAACCTATAACTCCATCCAGTTCACTTAGAAAGGTAGAAATGGCTGGGCATGGTGGAACACACTATAATCCTAGTACTCAAAGACCAAAACAGGAGAATTTCTAATTCAAGCCAATGCCAATACATACCGAAACCTTAGGAGGGAGAGTACGGGAGGAAGACAGTGTGCCATGTCCTCAGCTCTGTTGGGTGACTGGGCTGATCTCCATTGCTGTCCAGATGTGGGGCATCTTGGACAGGCTGTGTCTTTCCATCCCAGGCCTTGCTCTGCAACTGTTGAGGTAGCTGATGCTTTCTCTCCATCCCATCTGCAGAGAAGTTTCTCTGTCTCGGTCTTAGAAGGCAGGGCCAGCAGTTAACCTGTGCATTGTGGTCTCAGAGCTGAGTCAGCCATGTATGAAAATTGGTCATCCTGGTGTTCTGCAGAAACCCTACACTGCCTGCCCTTGCTGACCATGCCATCCCGTTTGGATCTAATGGTTGGGTAGAAGGGAGCTCTTGAAGTAGTGAGCAGGGGAGTGAACTCTACTTTTGACCTCATCACTTTCAGTCATGGTTCACCCTGGAGGCAGAAACCACACCAGTAATCTAAACTCATGAGCTGGAAGGATCAGAAGTTAAGGTCTTCCTTAGGACATTGGAGACCAGCTGGGGCCCTGTCTCAGAGAAAGAGAAAGCAGGAGGGTAGGTGAAACAGAGAAGAAGGAGAGGGAGATATTAGCTTTATTGGTGGTGACTTAGCTTTATTTTATAATCTTGGGCAAATTATCTTGTTTCCTTGTTTCTTGGAATTCAAAATAAGGAAGCTGCCTGTTTCATAACAGTCAGGGAAGAGTCGGTTGAAGTGAGTGATCGTCTTTGTGAGCTGTTTCTATATTGGCAGTTGACATCAGACTTCGCTCCCCTACTACACTGGCTCTTTAGCTGCTGTGCTGTGCTGTGGAGTGGATAGGCCAAAGTCTGCACTGAACTGTAGGCGCTATCCTGAACAGTGGGGCCTCAAGGCTGAACTGAGTAGCTTTGATTTGGCATGCCTGTAAGCTATTAGTGGGAAATGGGTCACAGTTTCCTGAATGAACATTACTGCATGGCAAAGCCTAAATTGTATCTGTCTCACATGAAAGTCAGAGAACAGCCTTTGCAGGAGTTGATTCTCCAACGTGGATCCCAAGGATCAAACTAAGGCAACAGGCTAAGCAGCAAACACCCTCACCAGCTGAGCCATATCTGTTTTCAGTAACTTTTATATTTTTTTATATTTATAAGTGTTTTGCCTGTATTATATGTATACCATGTGTGTGCCTGTGGAGGTCAATAGAGGGCATCAGATCCCCTAGAAATGTAATTTCAGATGGCTCTGAGCCACCATGTGGGTGCTGGAAATTGAACTTGGATCCTCTGCAAAAGCAACAAGTACTCTACACCATCTCTCCAGCCCCTGCAGTAATTTTAGTCTCTAGAAAAGTTTCAGAAAGTCAAGGCATTCCCATGAGCCATTCATTTAGCTTCTAATGCTAGTGCCTCCCTTGTCAGGATACAGATGTCAAAACTACTCAGTACTGGCTAAAGTACAGATTGTCTGCAGTGTCACCTGCTTTCCACCAACATGTCCCTTGCCTCTGTTCAGCCTAGTTGCCCACAGGTGCTGTGTTTCCTTGCTATCCCTGAGCCTGTAGTAGCCCTTGTCTTTCCTGACTTTGGCACTTGAAGGTTAGTCAGGTTTTATTTTTCTAGAATGCCTTTTTTAAAGGGATTATCTCATTTTTATTTCTGTGTATGTTCTCTAAAATGAGGAGATTTTTGAATGAACATTTTGCAAAGTAGGTACATAAAGTAGCCAGTAAGCTGGTGCCAAAATATCCAGTATAGCTAGACTTTAAGGGACTTCTCACTGTTACAGTGGCTCAGTCCTCAAAGGAGTGAGGGCACCAAGACCCAGTGAGATGAGCAGTTGGGATCCCACACCTCACTAAGTAGAAAACAGCAGTGTTGTACTTTGGGTAAGAGGAACATTTTCTCATCACTTATATGGCACATGTCCTTTCCGCAGAATCCAGCCGTTCTGAAAGTCCACCGAAAACTAGAACCAAACAAGACTCACCTAATGACCCTGACCATTGTAGCCAGAAGGCATCCAGATGAATGCAACAAGTATGATAGGACTTGGACAATAAGCATACCCCTGGGCTGGAGAGATGCTCAGTGGTTAAGACCACTTGCTGCTCTTGCAAAGGGTTGGGATTCAGTTCCCAGTACTCACATTAGGGGCTCTCAGTTGCCTGTGACTGCAATTCCGGGGCTTTGACTTCATCCTCTGACCTCTGTAGGCTCTGCACTCATATGCACATACCTACACAGACACACAGTTAAAAATTTAAATTGGGGTGGGGCAATAGTATGTGAGTGGCATAAGCCACACATGAGTGAGTAGCTGTGGTGTCAACAGAGGCGGCCCCACTCTGTGGGAGTCACTGTATTGGAGCCTTTGCTGTCTGTCTTGACCACAGCCAAGGTCCCTGCGAGTGAAGTGGGGGTCAAGAGTGGCAGTACAGTGTGCTGATGGTGACTTGCCAAGTTGCACTGACGATGCTTGTCTTCCTAACGATGTCATTGTACTTTTAATTTCCTGAGTTGTATCTGTTGGCCTTGCTTCCAGGTGGATCTATCTTAACGATCAGAACCTGTGCATCCCTGCCAGTTCATCCTTTGTGTATGGGGCTGTCCCCATAGGAGCCAGTATTTATGTTATCGGGGACCTGGACACAGGTGAGAATGCCGCATTGGTGTCTTGGGAACTGCTTCCCAGGGCTCAAGTGCACCAGCTCAGCTCTGCTCCCTCTCTGGGTTTAGGTACCAACTATGACTATGTGCGTGAGTTTAAGAGAAGCACGGGCACCTGGCACCACACGAAGCCACTCCTGCCGTCCGACCTTCGGCGCACAGGCTGTGCCGCTCTGCGCATAGCCAACTGCAAGCTCTTCCGCCTGCAGCTGCAGCAAGGCTTATTCCGCATCCGGGTCCATTCCCCTTGAAGAGGAGGAGGAGGAGCCAAAGCGAGGTCCCGCCCCAAGTGCATCACGTGGCTGGATGTCAGCAAGCACAGAGAAGCAGCTCCATCTCGCTGTGTGCTGGGCTTCAGTAATGGTTACTCTTAGGTGGTTTTTTAATGCTTAGAAGCTTGGGCTTCTGCTCTTGTTTGAGACCGTGTAACTGTTGAAAAACTACCCGGGAGGAATCAGTTCCTCCAGCCTGATGCGTCTGTAAACTGTGGAGGTAGTGAATGTCAAAAGGAGGAGGGAGTGGGGGTTAGTGTCATGTGAAATATCAAAGTTAAAGCCCGAAGGTGCGTTTTTCCAGAAGGGAACTCTTACCTAACCGATGCTGTATCCTAGTATGTGTGGCTGTGGTAAACAAACAACAGAATCCATATATGCAAGCCAACACACCCAGCATACAAGGTTGTCCTTGTACTGTGTGTGGAGGGACATAATGCCTAGTCCCACTCAGTAAATTGAGGTTTGTGCCAGTTAGTTCCCATTTATTACTAGTGCTCTGTCTTAAGACTCTCTAAGAACTATACTCTGATGAATTGAAACTAAGATAAAACTCGTCTGTGGCAGCAATCTTGTTTTAGTAAAGATATAGTCACCCAGGGAGCTCAAGTCCTCACCCTTGGGTGAGCTTAAAGTCCTTGCTCACTGTAAAAACGCTGAGTCATGAGAGTTCCCGGGTGCTGTCAGCTCAGGAGGGAGCTTGTACCGTTCTTCTTTGCCACCTGGAAAACAAAAGCATTTCCTATACTCCAGGCTCTTAGTGCAGAGGAGATTTTAGAGTTGGGCAAACAATAGAGATCTGCTGTGACTAAAAGTGATGAAACAACACAATTAAAAAGAGCTGTCCAGATAATGTACATAGGGATCAAAACTTCTTCCTATAATCTGTCTGAAAGCACACTGAGTCCTGTTTACTGCTGCTTAGAAGTTACAGACTTGCCTTTGAATGCAGATGTGTTTAGAATTTTGTCTTTGTAACAGACCACTTCGAAAGCTGTTCACTGGTAGGAGTTTTAGATGACTTTCAGTCCCAGTAATATTTGGCTGGTAGAATAAACTACCTCAACTTAATCTCATTCTGTTCCCTCCCACCCCATCACTCATTGCCATTTCCACCCTCGTTCCCATCCCCCGTTAGGAAAAAAATCTTTAGTTGTGGAATTTATCTTGTGAGATATTCTGTTCTCCATTTAGATTATGCCACCTTGGTGTGAAATCAGGGACTTGAGTGTACTCCATTACTTGATAGTGTGGGTTGTATGCAATATGAAATTTCTAGCCAACTTGATATAGATATCCTTATTCTAATTGTTTTCTACAAGTTTCTTTCTCTTAGAGTATTACTAGATGAGGCAACATTGTATCTTAGTGATTGCTAAATGTATAAGTACATCCTTTGGTTATAAATTGGAGAACAGGAATTTCTTCCAGAAACTTCCTGCATGAGATGTTTATATGCAATTAAAATGCATATAAAACATTAATCCTATTTTCCCACTGTGGACCTGAAAAAGTATGGCCTCTCTGCAGGGATGATCCAATACCTGTGATTGGCATTACAAAAGTTGCTGAAAAGGGCCGGTTGTGGTGGCGCACGCTGGTAGGATTTGCTGAAGGAGGCAGAGGCAGGAGGATCACGAGTTCGAGGCCAGCCTGGGCTACACATTTAAAAAAAAAAAAAAGTTGCTGAAAAGAACCCAGAGGGTGGATGTAAAAAGGGCTGGGAGTGGCTTCCTGACTCTGCTGTGCCCAGAAGCAACTTGGCAAGAGAAAGTCTAGCGTGTAAGTCTCTATCCTTTGCTCTAGGTCAGATGTGCCACACATTCATGCCATCCAGTCAAATGCATTGTCAGTCAAAGCCAGGCTTGGATTGTGTTGTGTATCAGCCATGTTGTTGGCGCGTTTCCCCATTGGGAAGCTTTTCATCCAAGAAGCTTTGGCAGAGAAAGCACTTTCTGCTGTTGCTGAGATGGTTGCTTCAGAGGAGAGAAATTGCCAGAAGGGCAAATACACTTTGGTGAAGTACCTGTACAGGACAGAGCTGTGGTCTGCCAGAGCAGACAGAAACTGATACCAGGACAGCTGTGGTAACTGCTCTGTTTTTGTTTTAGTCTGTCTGTCTGTCTGTCCGTCTGTTTGTTTAAAATTCTTCTGTCTGCCTCAGGCCTCTTCAAGGAGACAGTTGTCATAGTGCCTGTTGACTTGGTCAGTTCACGTAAAAAAACAAAAGCAAAAACAGGTTTTTCAGTTCAGTTCATTGACACTGTAGCTGCAGAAATTAATGTTTATAAAATAAATTTGCAACTTAATATAGGATGCAATAACAACAAAAGCTGCTAAGTGCCAAACTGTTATTTTTAGGTGTGAGAGAGAGAGAGAGAGAGAGAGAGAGAGAGAGTGTGTGTGTGTGTGTGTGTGTGTGTGTGTATGTGTGAGAGGGAGAGGGAGAGAGAGAGAGACTATCCTGCTGAAAAGCGGGGCTGTATTTAATTTTATTATGTTTCAAAGTCAATCATACCTCTTTGTAACTACTCTCTTTTAGTGTTGAGAAGTAGCTTGTAGCCACTGTCAAGTAGGCTTGTGTTTTGCTGTTCCACAAGCACAAGTCTTGGTAAAGTCTGAGTGAGTGGTCCTTCCCTTCTCGGTAAGGCACTTTGACCGGGTATATGTTACATTTGGCAACCAAGGCTAAATCTTAAAATCTGAAACACAAATGTCTTGGGGGAAGTGCAATTTCTTTTCTTGGAAAGTCTTAGGCTGCAATAGTGGATCAAGACACTCTCCTAGACAAGAGTGTAACATAGGTTAGTTTGTTTGTTTGCCTGCTTGCCTGCTTGTTTCTCTAACATATCTAAACATAGATTTTTTTTTTCCAAAGATTTAAGTGCTTAACTTAAAGTGAAGTGTTTTTTAATCTCAAGAGTGCTTATGTTCTGGGAGAAGAAAAAGTATGACAGATGAGCATGCTGTGCCACAGGACTTGATAAGTCTGTCTGTATATGTTTACTTTTGAAGCATAGTCACAAGCTGTATATACTACTGTCTCCTGGTGCTTCCGATAAACCTTGAGTCTGCCGACCTTCAGTTTCATGGCTGTGTCAAACACATGCTGTGTCTAAATGTGGAACTGAATGGTAGTCAGTTCCACTAGGTTTGCATTTCTCTTCCTTAGCAGGATTTTTAAAAATGGGTATACCACCTAGCAGTTGGTCCTAGAAAGGGCTAGTCTAAGGGTGTGAGCATGCTTTTGATCGCTCTGAGGAGTCAGGGATCTAGTTGGGCTTTTCACATCGTGCAGCAACCAAAAGCCTGCCGGGTCTGTGCTTGTTTGTGTGGAGCGAGTGTCCTGTTACATCTCACTACTGCTGAGGGTACTGTGATCCCCAGTGGCTTGAAGGTGTCATTTCATCCTTTATAAGTGGGGGAGGCCACCCCTCAGCAGTGTCTCAGAAATACATTCTCTTTATGGAGGTGGTGAAGGTAGGACTGTCCTTGCTGTGGTGCCTCCGGTTCCCACAGTATGCCAGTCAGGTGGCTAAGGAAACAGTTAGCTCTTCTCAAGGGCTCCTCTTGGTACCTCCTACCCAGTGCACTATGCCAGGGATCCCAGAAATCCTCCAAGGAGTGTGACAAACCCTGCAGTGCTGTCTTATAGTAGGCGGGCTTTCCTGGTCACACAGTGCTCCTGTGGTCGGGTGAAGATGTTGGATGCTCTGGGAAGGAGTGAGGTGATGTTCACTGTATGCACTTAGAGGTACCAGAACTGCCTGAGAAATACCCTCTGAAAGGATAGAGCAAGGCTTCTATCCTAAAGTCACCGCCCCTTAGCCAAAAGAGCACAGAGGAAGCCAGTGATTGGTGAGGTGTGATAATGCCTGCCCTGGATCACCCAGCAAATGCTGAGGGCCTCCCAAGAATTGTGCTTGCATTTCTGGGAACCCTACAAGGAGCAGGCGGCGACACAGTCCTCCCTCCCACCTGCCTTGTAAAACCACTAGAGCTTGAGCGGGGACCCTATCTGTGTGAGTTGATCCAGGTTTCCAAGTGGCATTGAGTCACAGCACCCTAGCCTTCAATGGGATGCTTTTCTCTAGGCAGGGTGCTCTCCTCAATTCTGCTGGGCTTTCGATGAGAAGCTGTGTGCATTGGTGGGATGGCCTCCTATAGAGCAGGACATGAGGGGCAGGATCAAAACTTGCAGGTGCCTCGTGTACTGTTAACACATGCCTGCATCCCCAAGTGCTTCTGTAGGTCAGTGAGACCATGTGCCCAGCACACCTCATAATGCTCATTATGTTAATGTTAGGTTGATTTACTGCATCTTACATGGACTTCAAATCTTTTCTGTGTCTGAGGTGGGTAGGGGCACTCTCCTCTTCCTACAGTGAACAGTTAGCTGTGAGCAGCAGCCAGAGGCAGAAGCCAGACCTTTGGGTTACCAAGGGTAGTCCAGCCAGTTGAACAAAAACTTGAGTTTTCTTGGCTTGCAGATGTTTTTATTCCTAAGATGTACATCACTTGGAGTATGATTTCAGTTCCCAGATCAAACCTTTTTAACTGAAGAAACTGGAAAACCCTTGCCCATTGGCTGTTGGAAGTCCCAGTCTTTCCTGAGTGTCTTCTGGAAACAAGGCAGGGTTTTTCATAAAGACTGAAGCTAACACTTCATTGATTTGCCCCCTGCAGTCAGAAGGGGAAGGAGACTGCTCTGATGTGCTGAGGGTGCCTTCTGCCTTTTGAACCGTCTCCAGAGGCTCCTTAGAGCTTACTTAGATGTCTACATACAGTTCTGGGGTAGGGATGAGAGCCAGCCCATTGGCCCAGGCTTGGGAGAAACCTGAGCTCTCTTGCTGCCAATGAAGTCTGGGTGGAGTTGAACTGTGGGCTCTTCTGCAAGTTTTGCCTCCTGCCTGTTTCAGCACTGACAGGAGACTTGGGACCTTGCTTTATTCCTCTTCACCAGGCACAGAGAGCCAGGTACACCTTAGGGAAGTCTCCATCGCTTCCTTCATGGCGTTTCCTGCAAAGCTGGATGGGAATTGCTTGCAGTCATTCCCATTCTTTGTGTTTGTAGGGAAAAAACAAACCCTCTTGTCAGCTACCTCATGATGTAGCGTGGAATTTGGTTCCCCGGCAGATGAGAAGAATTCAGCATGCTGTCCTGTAAAAAATGCCTGAAAGCAAGCCGTGAGCAGCCTTGAGAAGTTCAGTCCTCCAAGATGTGTGTGTTTTCCAATTTCCTACTTTTTTTAATAGGCACTTTAAACCTGGAGGAGAGTAACTCTCCTGGGGCTACTGCGAGGTGATTACTTGAAACTCAACTTGAATTGGAAAGAGTCATTCAAAAGGCTTTGTTTTCTTGCAGAGAAGTAGCACATTCACACAGCAGCGCTGTGTACAATGGAAGGCTTCCTTTCTGTCCTTGTTAGGATCAGAGAAGAGTGCGTGTGTCTGTGATCCAGCACACTGTTGGGACTTAGATGCTCGAGGCTGCTGTTGGTTCTTGCAAGGTGCTGCTGATTCCCAGGAACTTTTCCTTTTACTGGCTGCTCGATGCATTCTCTTCCTCCTTCAGTCCTGGCAGCAGCAGATGTCAGAATGAAACAGATGTTTTCTAGGTTCAAGATCGAGGTTGACCCAACTACCTCGAATCATGTTTTCCTTAAGCTCATGCCTCGTCTGGTTTGTCACACTCATCAGGGCACTCTCCTGCGCCTCGCCCTGTGCATGCCTTCTCCACGCCTCCAGGCACAGGCTCTCAATGCCCCAGCCTCTGGAGCTGCCAAAGGAGTCAGCAATTGGAGATGCTCTTCCAGGAGTTAGTTCTCATAGGGATGGCCATTTCTCAGGTCACGGTTGGACCTGACCTACTTAAATGGAAGTGTTGGATAGTCAGTGGAGGCCAAAAGAATGTCATGCTCCTCTCAGAGCCCATCCTCCTTCAGCCCTGTTCTCCCCTCAGAGCCCTGCATGCTTAGAGTAACTGAGTCCTGGTACATTTTAAAATCTCATGCAAGTGTGGTACCCTAAGCCTTTAGTCCCAGCATTCAGGAGGCAGAGGCAGATGGATCTCTGTGAGTTTGAGGTCAGCCTGGTCACAGAGTGAGTCGCAGGATATTCAAGGCTACACAAAGAAACCCTGTCCTCAAAAAAAAAAAGAAAGAAAGGGTTCAGTCACCCTCTGTTGAGAGCTTACCTAATAGAGTCCTCTAAATTTCCTTAAAATCCTTTACCTAGGCCGAACTTTTCTTTTTCACCAGAATGACAAATTTGTCATCTAGCTTGACCAAATAAACTAAGTATTTTCTAGATCTCTGACTGAGGCCACGGACCTAAGCTTCTATATCTTTAACTAGGGTGTTGTATGTGGAAACTAGGCCCCTCAGTGTCTGTGTGGTGAGGGCCATGCCTCCAGCCTGGAGGTTCTAGGCAGGCCTGCAGTGTGAGGCCGGAGCAGCCTGGGACTATCTAGCCACTTAGCAGGTGACCAGGCCCTTTAAGCTCTGGCCTTGGCGATAGGCATATAAAGGAGATATGTACACTCCGGGACATTTCAGGCCAGTAGGCAGAATTACAGAATTTCACCATCTTGCTCGTTTATTTAATTTATTTTTCTTGAGTTTTTTTGGGACAAGGTTTTAAGCCTCCTGCCTCTGCCTCCCAAGTGCTAGGATTGCTCTTCTGTCATCTTTAGGTGGGACAGCTTTGGGGTAATAGGGTGCCTTCTTAGCGAGCGATTGCTTCTGTGAGCACTCCCAGGGGCCCACTGCAAGGGGGGAGTCAGAGAGAGTTGTCAGAGGATTTTGTGAAGTAGCCCTGTGTCCCTTCTATGCTTTCTTTGCCTTATTCCCTTCCCCTCCGCTCTGCTTGTCATCACTTTGGTCCTTTGACTGTGGCCAGTGGCCACCAGCCACCATGGCAGTCCCTTCACCAGGGTGCTTACGGTCCAACTTTCCATAATAATCCTTTATTTCCAGAGATTTCTTTAAGCCATAATGTCCACCAGAACCATGATATTTGGTTGACAAACATTTTGTTTTAAGCTCTTTGCTGCCTACTCTGCCTTAAGCTGGTAAATGACAGCCACGCCTCCCAAGTTGGCCTGACTACCCAGGAAGGTGCTTGGTGAGCTCAGTCAACTTTCCCTGGGAGCTAGCATGAGTCTTTGTTGCCTCTTGTGAAACATTTCTAGGGACACCAGTCTCATGTTCCTATTCTGTCTCCTCTCTGGTGAAAGCTTGCCATGGAGACCTCAGCCATTCACTCCAACCCTACCTATAAATGGGAGCCCTGTAGTCATGAGGGAGCAGCCTTAGCAGGTGAGAACAGCCCCAGCTGCCCTCCCCATTCTCGGGGTGCTGGGCTGTCCTCACAGATCTGATAGCCTCCTAGATGCTACTGGAAGGCGTCTGAGAACAGGGTCCCTCCCACAGCCCACACAGTTCCCTCGGCCGCTGAGGACTTCTGTCCAGAGGGAGGACTGTGGTTCTGTTTGCCAGAGATTGTCATGTAAACTCTCCTGCCACTTTCAGACCTCTCACACTTGTCCCCGCCTGGTATCCCAGTTGCTTGAATTGTCTCACAAAGGAAAAAGGTGGCCTAACACGTGAACCTGATGACCCATGTGGTAGAGAGAACTGATTCCCACAAGTTGTCCTATGACCCCCACACACATTCACGCACACATACTAATAATTAAATGTAAAAAGGAAATTAGAAAAAGGGAAGGGAAGGAGAGAGCTGTAACTCTTGCTGCTCCCTGGACCACTGGGCATGGCATCAGCAGCCTCTCCAAAAGGCGTGCCTTCTTGGCCCCAGTCATGCCTTTGTGCTGGCACTTTCTGCCTGCCAGCCAGTCCCAACAGCTTCCTGGGTCAGCATCCAGCATAGCCCAAACCCATCTCCAGCCTCAAGCCCTGGAGATGAACAGGAGCCTTCCACACCTGCCCTGAGGCCACCAAGGGCTCTCTCTGAGTCGGGGGCCAGCACCAGGCCACACATACTACCTCAGCATCTAGTCCCTGTCACAGCATTGTGGGGCCCCAGATTGTCCATCGAGATGTACTCAGAGCCTGGGTCACCTCACAGAGGCTGTCTGATAGGTCCTGTGCTCTTGGCCCGAAAACCACTGTGGGATTCTTTCCTGCATCCCATGGCATGCTCCCAAAAGCAGGCCAGGCTTCCATCTCTTCCCGTCTTGTTTAGCTCTGACTTAAATATACCAAACTATGAGTAGAGTCAGAAGTGGGACTAGCTTGTTTGTAATGAAAAAGGGACCACTTTTTCATATTTTCATCACAAGGGTTTTTGCTTCAAAAGAAACTCAAGAAAACATATGTGATGTTGATGGCCAGGGTGATCGTGAATTGCAGCCTGGACTAAGTCACTGCACTTGGCTGTTAGGCTTTGTATAAACAACAATAACGGTGTAGGGCTGGAGAGATGGCTCAGCAGGGGAGAGTGTTTGCTGTTCTCCAGTGAGTCCACCAGCACTCACATGGAGGCTCAGAGGTGCCTGGAACTTCAGCTCCAGGTGATCTGAAACCCTCTCGGACCTCCTCAAACCCTCACACGCACACATAGCACACTCACGCACACACGCAAATAAAGGCAAATAAGTAATGTGGGAAATGGTACCGAGGGCAAAAGTATCATCAGATTTTAAAATTACCTAAGCTTCACCCTGTCTATCATGTAACACCTATTTCTAGTTGGCACCTTAGAATTCAGTTTCATCATGCAGAGGTCATCTAAATTCCATGGGTTGAAGGACTTTATGTTGGGAACTATACCAAGTGGCCTTCAATTAAAAAAAAAAAAAATAGAAAAGAAGCCAGGCACAAACCTTTAATCCCAGCTCTCAGGAGGCAGAAGCAGGCTGTCTCTGAGTTCAGGCTAGCCTGGTCTACAGAGCAAATTCTAGGACAGCCAGGGCTGCACAGAGAAACCCTGTCTCAAGAAGCAAACAAAAGTAACAACTAAATAAGTAAATAAATAGAAAAGAAAAGAAAGCACAAGCTGTATAGCAGACTTTGCATACTTCATCAATGAGTGGCTTTTTTTGCCCACGGGTCCTTTTACTTTGAACCCACTCAGAACCCAGCTCCTATTTGTATTCTCTCTCCCATAAACCTCCATGCCAGCAGTGGCATGGCAATACTTTCTTTGACCATTGTCCCACTGGTAAATTGTGACAGCCATAAACAGAGATGGTGGCTTTGGTGGAAGTGCTGAGTATACCTCACAGTGGGTCCTGGGCCCCAACCTGTAGAGCAGTGGTTCTCAACCTTCCTAATGCTGTGGCCCTTTAATACAGTTCCTCATGCTGTGCTGACCGCCCCCAACCATAAAAGCATTTCATCGCTACTTCACAACTGTAATTTTCCTGCTGTTATGAGTCGTAATGTAAATATCTGATATGAGGATATCTCATATGTAGCCCCCAAATGGGTCGAGACCCAGGTTGAGAACTGCTGCCATAGAGGTTGCCCCGCACTCGCTTCTCGTCAATATCCAGGCTGTAGACACAGCCCAGGCATACCTCATTCTGCAGTGATCAGGGCTTTTGTTTCCTGTGTGAGTAAGATCTACCCACCACACACGACAGTGAATACGGCAGTTGTTGGTGTCCTGCCACTAGTGTTTATCTTCTGCTAGGACAGAGAACTACGGAGGAAACCCCATTGAGAAGAGTTAAATAAAACAGTCTGTCCCCAGGCTCAAGACCACACCCTTCAAGTGGCTTGCAGTACACCCGTGGCCCGGTCAGTATTGTGCTGAGCACAATGTGCTGCGGTCATACCGATACGCAACAGTTATCCTTGCTAAAAGCTAGTTTGTTCTCTGATGCCTCTCCTACCATAAGGACAACTCCATAGAGACCATATAATACCAGGTTTCAAAAATACCGTAACAAAATCCATCCTATTAAAGCGCAAGCCTGTCTCATTGCCATATGTGTATTTCTTGGCATGGTACCTATAGAACAGCTTTTCATTTAACACTTAACTATCTAGTGATGTTTCCAGGAAGACTGCATTCAGGTCAGGCTGAACTGTGGTTAAGCTGAGTGCTCTTCACACTGTGCTCCCACTGACAAACATGCACTTGCAATGGGCGTGCATAAATACAACAAGTGTCATTCTCTACAAAGTGCAAACTGTTTGAGGGGCCAGAATGTTGCAACGTACAAAACTGTGTAAATTCAGTAGGAGAATAGAAAAAAATTTTGAATTTCCTTGCAATGTCCCTGTCAGCTGCTTTGTGGGCCAAATGTACCTGGTATAGATTTTTATTCCTTTGCTGGTGTCTATAACAAAGTCAGAAGTCATTTTTTAATTTGTAACCTTTCTTACAAAGTTACTTTATGGTTTACAAGCAACATTGATATGGAAGGATATGGTAATTTTCTTAAATTAAGTAGCAGCACTTTGTTTTCGGGGTTTGGATATTGTGTGTAACTGGGGGATATGGTATGTAACCCCCAACACTAGACCCACGTCCTGGGGAAATATTGCCATTGTGCTGTTCTCTTGTATCAAGGATCAGTGAAGGTGTTTTATCTTTTTTACGTAGTTTGTACTGACTGGATTTTATAATGGTAAGAAAACAGAGTGTTGTATTTTGAGCTGAACTTTGTGTATGGTCAAGTCATTCTGTTTTATGTACTGGAAGTTCGTTTACAACTTGAACAATTTTCTAGAAGAGTGCTGAACAAAATGAATTGTCTTCAAGCTGTTTCATTAACCTAATAAAATAATTTGATGGGGAAGAAATTTGAATCCCTTTGTGTTTTATTTGTGTGTGTGCACTTGAGAGGCCAGAAGCCAAACTTGGTGTCTTTTATTCTTAAGCACTTTCTGCCTTTTATTTTAATTAATTAGTTAATTAATTTTGGGAGGCTAAGTTTCATTGATATAGAAATCAACAAGTTGGCTAGGCTGGCTGGCCAGTGAGCCCAGAATCTCTGTTTGCCCCTCCTGTGGTGGGATTACAAGTGCATGTCACCACAACCAATACTTTTGGTTGGTTGGTTGGTTGGTTGGTTTGGGATTTTTATTTATTTTCTTTTTTTGCTTTTTGAGACAGGGTTTCTCTGTGTAACTTTGGCTGATCTGGAACTCCTTCTGTAGGCTAAATTGGACTAGAATTCATAGAGATTCTCCTCCCGAATACTGGGATTAAGGGTGTGTGCCACCACCATCTGACTTGGGCTTGTTTGATTCTTTTAGTGTGTCTTGAGGATCAAATGCAGGTCCTCATCCTTGCGAGGCAAGCAATTCACCAATTAAACCAGCTCCACAGCCATTCATTTTAGTCTTTTTGGGGGGGGAGGGGACTGGATTCTGCTGAGTCAGCATTGTAGATGCTACATGGACCAGTCTTGAAAGGAGGGCTGCCTTTTGCCATGGCTCACATGGGTAGTAGACATTGAGACCATTAGTTACATGCTGTAAAAGTCTAACCATGGGACTGGAGAGATGGCTCAGAGGTTAAGAGCACTGGCTGTTTTTACAGAGGTCCTGTGTTCAATTCCCAGCAACCACATGGCAGCTCACACTGTCTATAATGAGGTCTGGTGCCTTCTTCTGGCCAGCAGGCAGACCACTGTATAAATAAATACAGAAACCTAAAAGAAGGAGGAGGAGGAGGAGGAGGAAGAGGAGGAGAAGAAGAATTAATAGTAGTAGTAGTAGTAGTAGTAGTAACCTTGGCCACAGAGTTACCCTATAGGAGTCAGAGGCACTTAAAAACAATAAAAAAATCCAAGCCTGAAGACCTGAGTTAGGGGCCTGAATGATGGAAGGAGTTCTGCAAACCCACTCCTGAAAGTTATCCTATGACCTGCACACACAAACACACACACACACACACACACACACACATAATACTGATGTCACAAGATAAAGAACTTAGAGAATCTTTCAGAAGGCCAAATCAAGTGACTGGGTTTGTACACACAGCCTGCAAACTCATCCTGATGATGGAAAGTAGGGTTATTCTCCTTCAGAAGCACACAGTGTCATGTAGGTCAGGACACCTGCCTAGCAGAGTTCTCTGGTATTGTAGGTTCTAAGCCCTTCATCTTGAGGAGGGTTGCTATTGAACACTTTTTGAATAAAGTCTTTAAAAGCAGTACTGAAGCCATTCAATGGTGATGGGGGATGTCCTTATGTATATATGTTTCTCGTATTGGTTGATGAATAAAACACTGTTTGGCCAACAGAGACAGGAAAATAGGCAGGACTAGGAGACAAGAAGAATTCTAGGGCTAGAGGAGATGGCTCAAGAGCATTGGCTGCTCTTACAGAGGTCTTGAGTTCAATTCCCAGCAACCACGTGGTGGTTCACAACCATCTATAATAAGATCTGGTGCCCTCTTCTGGTGTTTAGGCATACATGAAAGCAGAATGTTATATACATAATAAATAAATCTTTTTTTAAGATCTATTTATTTATTACATATACTGTTTTCTGCCTACATGCCAAAAGAGGGCACCAGATTGAATTGTAGATGGTTGTGAGCCACCATATGGTTGCTGGGAATTGAACTCAGGACCTCTGGAAGAGCAGTCAGTGCTCTTAACCTCTGAGCCATCTCTCCAGCCCCATAATAAGTAAATCTTTAAAAAAAAAAAAAAAAGAATTCTGGGAAACGTAGGCAGAGAGAAACTGCGAGGAGACTCCATGTAGTGGAAGAAGGAGTAAGAGGTTCAGACCATTCTCCGGTCAGATAAGACCACATGGAAATACATAGATTTATAGAAATGGGTTAGTAATTAAGACAGAGCTAGCCAATAACAAGCCCTAGTCATTGGCCAACAGTTTTATAATGAATATAGCACCCATGTGTTCATTTGGGGCTAAGGCAACTGTGGGACCAGGCTGGACAAGAAACTGCCAGCAACACAGTGATGGCTCATGCTGTGAATCTGAGGCCAGCCTGATCTACATAGTGAGTTCCAGGACAGGCTCCAAAGCTACAGAGAAACCATGTCTCAAAGAAAACAAAAAACAAAACAAAAAAAAAAAACCCTTTCCTCCCCAACTTGCTCTTTGATATAGTGTTTCATCACAGTAATAGAAACTCTAATTCACATGTCATCATCTGAACCATAACAGTGGCAGTCCGTCTGCCTAAGAACCTGTCAATTCATCTGTCTTGAAGGACATGAGCCATGTGACCTGACAGCACTGCTTTTAAAAATGAAGGATGAAGCCAGGCAATGGTGGTGCACACCTTTAATCCCAGCACTCAGGAGGTAGAGGCAGGCGGATCTCTGTGAGTTCAAGGCCAGCCTGGTCTACAGAGTGAGTTCTTGGACAGCTGGAACTACACAAAGAAACAAAACAAACAAAAAAAATTTAAATGAGACTTCTCACTCTTAAGTAAAAGAAGGGTTGAGGATGGGCCTGAGCTTGAAGAGTGCTTACCTACCTAGCATGCATGAAGTCCTGGCTTCAATCCCCAACCCCACAAAAACTGGGGTGACAGCTCACATACAAGTAATCCCAGTGCTTGTGAGGTAGAGGCTGAAGATCAGTAGCTCAAGGTCACTCTGAGACGTGTAGGGATTTCATGACCAGCCTGGGGATACAAGAAACATTTTCTCAATTTTTTTTTCCTTTTTGGAGAGGTGTTTACTTTGTATAGCCCTGGCTGTCCTGGAACTCACTCTGTAGACCAGGCTGGCCTCGAACTCACAGAGATCCGTCTGCCTCTGCCTCCCAAGTGCTGAGATTAAAGGCGTGCTCCATCACTGCCCTTGCTCTCGATTTTTTTTTCCTTAAAGGGAACAAATTGCTAAAGATGTAGCAAAACAGGAACCTTGTATCTGACTGGTGTAAAATGGCACAGCCACAGCAGGGAAGTGTGGTAGTTGTTGCTCAATTTAACTGTTACCATGTGGGGCTGGAGAGATGGCTCAGTGGTTAAGAGTACCTGTTGCTTTTGCAGAGGACCAGAGTCCAGTTCTCAGCACCTGAGTTGGACAGCTCACAACTGCCTGTAACTCCAGCTCCGGGGGATCTGCTGCAACCTTCTGCCTTTCAGGCACACAATCACACACACACACACTTGCACACATACAGGCACATATATACATGCATACATATACATGCAGACACATGAACATATACAAATTTTTTAAAATATTTATCGAGTTGATCCCTAGTAGTTCCATGCCTAGGTGTCTAAAAGAAATAAAAGCAGGTAAAAGAAAGAAAAATGAAGCCATCATGGTGGTCACATTGTGATCTCTGCACTAGAGAGGCTGAGGCAATAGGATCAGGAGTTTGAAGCTAGGTCTGGGTTACATAGAAAAATGAAAAAGGAAGAAAAGGAAGAGGAAAAAAAAAAGAAACTGGGCATGGAGATTGCCTTGTAGTCTCAGCACTTGAGAGGATGGGTCACTGAGAGTTCAAGGCTAGCCTGGGCTACTTAGTGAGTGTATAAACTGAGGACATGACCGCACCAAAGTGTGGTTGAGCAGGGAGGTTCTTACTGTAGATATGAGGGAAGGTACAGCCAGCAGCATCTGGAAAAGTCCAGAGCAGGGAGAGTAGTAGGTTGAACATGGCCAACAGAATGGACTTGACCATGAGAGAAGGGGCAGTGAGTGGGGAAGATCAAGAGAATGAGGGAAAAGGGGTCCGAGTGAGAGAGAGGGAGCCAAGTGGAGAAGACGAAAGAGGGCATGGAGCTGACATGGCAGGGTTGTACAGGAACGAGCAGCTGGAGGAGGGACAGCATGAGCTGGACAAGTTCAGAGCAGGGGGCATGCTGGGAAGAGATGAGAAAAGCCACAGGAAGTCGTGAGGGAGCCTGGAGGCCAGAACACACTTTGGTATGCTGATAGGCACCAGAGATAGCCTTTGTCCAGAGTTTTTTGTTTTGTTTTAGCTTTATATTTTTAATTATGTGTGTCTGTTCAGGGGGACTATGCAGGTGTCCATGGAACCAGAGGAGTTGGGTCCCCTGGAGTTTCTGGCCCTTGTCCAGGGTTTCCTTTGGACCTGACAGTGAGAGCCTGTCAAAGAAATGGAAGGAGGGAGGAACACAAATATGTAAACGTCAGCGTGGCAAACTGTGGCATGACCATACAGGCAATGTTGACCCATCACTTCAAAGAGGTGCTTGAAATATTATAACAGCCAGGTGTGGTGGCACACACCTTTGACCCCAGCACTGGGGAGGCAGAGGCAAGTAGAGTTCTGTGAGTTTAAAGCCAGCCTGGTCTACAGAGTGAATTGCAGTCAGAGCTACATAATAGAGAGATCCTGTCTCATAACAAACAAGCAAACAAAAAGAAAAGGAAACCACTATGGCATGGACAAACCCCAACACCACACTCAGGGTAGCTGGGTATGGTAACATATGTCTGTCATTCCAGCACTTAGGAGGAAGGTCCTTGAGTTTGAAGTCATCCTTCGCTGCGTGGTCAAACTCTGTCTTAACCAAACAAGGGCTGGGAAAATGGCCCAGTCGGTCAAGCTCTTGCCACACAACCAGCATCAGAAGCCAGGCAAAGTGGTGTAAGCCTGCATTGTCAGTGCTGGGGAGGCAGAGATGAAAGGGTCTCTGGGCCTTGCTGACCAACCAGTATAACCTGCTTGTTGAGCTGCAGGTTCAGTGAGAGACCCTATCTCAAAAAGCAAAGAGGCTGGGCATGTTGACACAGACCAGTGATCCCAGCACTCTGGAGGCAGAGGCAGGCAGATCTCTCATGAGTTTGAGTTCATCTTGGTCTACCTAGCAAGTCCCAGGCCAGCTAGA